TATTGAAACACAAAAAGTCAATGCCCCACAGTGGGGTTTGAAAATTTCATTTGAAAGATCACAGCTATGCCATTCAACCACAAGGTTTTTGGCTGGTAAGTGTATCTATTAATAAGTTAAAAACATAAATTTTACAAAAGGGGGGTGGGGGAGTATAAGGAAATTAAAAACAAAAAAAAAAAAAAACAAAAAAAAAAAAATTAAGGAAGAAAAGTAACTTTAATAGTGATTTCCCACTTTGCAAATGAATATGAACCATACACTATTTCAACAATTTAATCAATAAATATTGTTCAGCATTAGACAACATTATTAAAATTAACTACATTTCAAGATTATCAGTACAAATTCTCAGATAGTGACGATGAGATTCACTTACAGTCATTATTTAGATGTTTTATGTTATGAATATAACTATGAATTAAGGTCAATAATATACCAGCATGGGAAGTAGAATTGCAAAGTAAAGTTTGACAATTCAAATTGAATTACTTTGACATGAACAAATCCTCAAAGCCTGGCCTAGCAATTCACAAAGACATTAAAGCCGTAGCCTTTCACTCAAAAATTAGGGATTTGAATCTCACAAGTACTGTGCTTAATTTGAGATAAACTATGTTTAATTTTTTTTTTTCCTATGGAATTGAACATATCGACATGGTAGCTTTCCTTAGAATGCATTCCGCTTCTAAAAATTAAAAAGTGAATTTAAATGTATAAACATCATATCATTGGCAAAAGAAAAGTTTTCAAAGTGGTTCACCAACATCGATCTATTTCATATTATTTTTTTTTATTATTAATTGGTTACTATAAATTAACTAATTCATTAAAGGGTAACACTTTCAAGAGACGGGTCAATTTTTTTTTTTTTTTTGAATGAATCAAATTTTTAGTTATTTATTTACAAATTTTTACCTTTGTTTTAATGCTACTGAATCTATTACAATGTAGTATTTGTTCATATACTTTCTCAAGCAGAACCAATAACACCTCCATTGAGACTCAAACCAACAACATTTCAAATGAAAGTCTAACCCGGATACCATTAAACCACATAGTCTTAGATAATTTTTACCTTTGTTTAAAAAGAAGTATATTTATATTGTCATCCAGTGAAAATGTTTTGTTCATGTAGCATGACCCTACTCTATTTATTTATTTATTTAGATTATACCTACAATTGCAATAATTCAATCACTTGAATAAGTAATAATCCTTGTTGATGAATATAATATCCGTATCTATCTCCGATAGCCAACTTTAATCATGAGATTAGCTAGTACTTTTACGACAAGCTTCCTTGAACACAAGGATGATGAATATTACAAATTTTTTTGTTTTTTTGTTTTTTTGTTTTTTTTTTTTTTTGAATTGAGCTAGTGTCATTGGATAGGCAGCAAGTGTATAAGATAAACTCTATAAATATACAATAAGCTTTAATTTCTTGTATGGTAAATATCTTATTGTATGGTAAGGATCAGAAACGCATGAAGATTCCTAAATGGTAGTCTCATCAACAGTTGTCCAAATATCACGAGAAGAAGATATTGCTACTATGATTTAACAAATCATTTCAATCTTTATAGGGAAGAAATTTATATTGTTCTTCAATTTAGTCCTGCATCCTACCCTTAAAAGAACTGACAAAAGTGAAATAAATTCTTTTTTCAAATTCAAATGAACATTAATTAAGACATTTAAAGTACTTTAGTTCTAACATTTAAAAGTTTTTAATTCATAGGATCATGTATACATATTTTATTTCAAATTCTTAATTAAAAGACGACTTTTCTAATAATTATGTAATAAAATTTGTTACGTTTACAAAACGTAACAAGTTGTACACCTTAAGCATCCCACGTGGCCACGTCCCGATTTGAGTGATAAATAATGGTGACTTATCTGAATAGCTAAGGTGGCCAGACTTTTGTTACATTATATTACTGCTCGATGACGAGATTTGATCTTTGGTCTTTTGTGACAAATTTCACTTTTGTGACTAGTTAAATGTACAGCTCATGCAGGATGTAAAAAAAAAAAGTGTAATAAGATTGTATAATTGTATAGCATCAGATATCTTACCATAATTTAACCTTTTATCCACTGGTCATTCAACCCTGCACAACATGCAATCCCACTCTTCCGTTATATAACAGCTAACGAAACGAGATATATATAGAGGCCCGTCACATTCTTCAATATCTATATACTCATTCGTCCCATTTTGTCTATTTAATTTACTATTTATTAGTTAAATCAACATTTTTTTTTACTTATTTTCTTTAGTAATTTTAAATTTAATTTTTTGTGTTAATAATATTTTTAATATAATTTTTAAATATATAAATTTTATTTACTAATATTAAATTTAATTTTTTGAAAAATTAAATTAAAATAACTTTAGTGAGGTCTTGTGAATAAGACAAATAAAATGAGGCTATATATATATATATATATATATATATATATATATATATATATACCTCTTCACATCCCAACGTCTTCTCGTCCTTTCTCTCTTCAATCCTCTTTTCTTTCCTTGTTTGATTCTGAGCACAATCTCTCGCAAATCTCTCCTGCGATGTTTTTCTACACGTTAGCGTAAAACCTGGAGCTGAAAATCCCTCGGACTTTCTGGAAAAGCGCCGCCGCACACTCACTCGCCGCCGGCCAATATTCCCTCCCTCCCTCCCGCCCCTTTCCTTCCCTTCAATGCTCTGGATTTTACAGACTTGATCCGGTTCGGTTCTCGATGTACATTTTTCTCCGAAATTGAAGCGGGAAAGGACCGGAAAAACCGTCACGGGGCTCGGAACATTCCCATTAACGTTGGAGCCATATATATTCTCCCCGGCCGGCCAACACGTCCCAGGTAACTAACGCTTCACCTTTTTCTGTTCATTCGCTCTTGTTTTTTTTTTTTTTTTTTTGTTAGGATTTTGTTGGAGTTTTGTGTTGTTTTTAGAAATTTGTTACGAGTCACTTTCCAGAGATTGTGCGCGTGTACAGTGTACTGAATGTGTTTTTGTTGTGAGATTTTTGTGTGTTTGTGATTTGATTTCTAAAGCTATTTGTCATTCTCATTCCCATGCTCCACACTATCTTCCCTCTAACTCAAAAGATATGGATATAATTTTTTTTTTTTTAAATCTCAAAATTGATTTTGACAACAGAGAATATTTAGCATTATATTTTTTTTAATATTACTTACTTTATTACAAATATTTAGCATTATATAATAAATGTACATTCGAATTATCAGTTTAAGAAACAAGACACTAATCGACTCAGGATGGTTGTCACCTCGAGTTTGAATAGGGTAGGAGGGAGTTTTAGAATTCATTTTTTTTTTATTGGCTTTATTGGGTGGGTGGGGAAGGAGAGTAGAGTAAAGAGAGCAGAGAATGAAGTTACTTTGAGAATTTTTTTACTTTTTTTTTTTTTTCACTTTTATATTTGATGATTGCTTGATATTAAAAGCCATTGATTCTGATCTCCCTACACTCTGATCTGCTTCACTTTCTTTTGCTTTTTCCAGGCTTTCTTTTTGTTTGTATTTATATTGAGTGGATGGGAGTTCATAACTATCTCACCATCTTCAAACTTACATTCTTTCCAACACTAAAACACCAGTATTTAATAATTATTTGATTGTTACTTTTTTTTTTCTATTTATGATCATTGAGTTTAAATTAGCTAATTGTGGTCCTTCAAAAGATTAAAAAGGGTATATATTTTCAATAATCAAGAAATACATTTGGATTGATTCTGAAGTCTACAAGTGAAAAATGTAATAATCTAATGATCAAAATTGAAGTTAGACTCGAACACTAATTTGAAACTGGACTAAAGTTTGGGTAGTTCATTATTAAAGTGAAATTTGAGGCCACAAATAAAATGTAAATGGTTTTTTTTTTTTGGCATATTGGTCCGATGTTCTTAACACTATGAGACTAATTTGAATTTGACCTGAGTTGCGTTGATAGAATTTGACCTTTATTTTAAATTATTAAAATAAAAAAAAAAGAAAAAAAAAAGCTTAAAACTCTTTATTATGATGCCCTGTAAACTAAAATATGGAAATTAAATTAGTGTGTAGTAAAAGAGTGTTTATTGTATTTTCCAAGAGTTAAAAGGTTGTTTTTTTTTTTTTTTTTTTTTTGTTTTGTTTTTTTTTTTTTTAATAACATCAACAAGTGCCCTTAAATTCTTAAAAGAGTTTATTATATGTACTTTCAAATTTTACTCTCTCAATTTTACTTTTTGATATGTACTTTTCTATATAAATCTCAATACAAATATTTGCATTAAAGTTATGTGTGTGAGTAAAAATTGGAAGTAAAATATGATAGTAGTATAGTACACATATCATTTTCCTTCTTGAAATGAATCCATTTTTTTTTTTTTGGAGTTAAGAAATGAATCATTTGTGTTCCCTAGAAAACACTTCCGGTAGATGTGAAATAAAGCTGGGCAAATATAGTAATATTCCTTTCCTTTCTTTCAAAATAGTAATTAATGTATTACCGTAAATTTCATATTCCTCATTTTGTTATGTCCCATTCAAATAACAATATTTGATTTTAAAATTTTATAATTTTATTTTAAAAATATTTAATTCTTTTTTTTTTGAATGCTACTGACTCTATTATAATGTCTTATTCATATATTTTAACACAAAGAGTCAATAACGCCTCCAAGGCTCGAACTCACAACCTTCCAAATAGAAATCCAACCCGGATACGATAAGACCACATAGTCTTGGTTAAAAAAAAAAATTCAATTCAGTATTAGTAAAAACATTTATACATTAAAGCATCCCACTAATAGTTCTTTTAAACACAAAATTAAGATTTGCTAAAGAATAAACGGAAAACGAAAATTAATTTGTGCAAGAAGTAATAAATAAAATTAAAAAATTATATTTTTTTATCATTCCATTATTTCTTACTAGTTTTTTTTTTTTAGTCTCTAACCTTTTACTGTTGCGATATACTTCTTTTAACTTTTTTTTTTTTTTAAAAAGTTACAATTCTAAATCCAAAACAACAAAAGTATTAAGTTCTATTAAAATTTTTCGTTATTTTTTAAATTTTATTATCTTTATAACTTTTTTAGGTTTAGTATTTCATATGCAAAATAGCGAATTGACAATTTTTTTTTCCTAAATTTTTTCTTTAATTGTGGTACATTATTCATATTTTCCTTACACAAACTTATTAAAGTAAATCTCTTTTTAAAAAGAATAGAAATGAAATATCGAGACTAAAGAATATTATAATAAATAAAGAAACATTTAAAAGTACTAAAATAGTCATGTACTAAGTAAAAAAAATTAATAAATTTTAATAATTTTGTTATTCTAGGAGTTAGGAGTATATTGCAACGGTAAAAAGGGATTAAAAATGCAATTTTTTTTTAATAAATAAAACATAAGTGAAGAAGTACTATTTAGCATAGAAAACATTCCGCAATTAGCAAATTTATTTCCCTGCTTAGAATATAAAGATAAATACTAATTTGGTATTGATTGTTTTAGCATTACTTCACGTCTTCAACTATATTTATATGGAAAAAGTGTCAAATAGGCAACTAAATTTTTATACATTGTGAAATTAAACCATCAAACAAAAAAATGTGATATTTGACATGATATCATATTTAAGTGAAATTTTGAAGTAACCTTTAGAAAATGCTATTTGCACAACTGATTGTATACTTTTTTATTTGATAGTTCAATCGTAAAAATTTAGCGACTTATTTGACTTTTTTTCCTATAAATATAAATAAATAAGAGATTTAATGTTAAATGTCTTGTTTATTATAGTACCTTTTTTGAAGGTAGGGAAAGTGAAATAGAAAATCTTGGGTAGGGAGAGAAGAACAGATGCTTACGTGTATCACGTGTAAGCCAAAGACAGAAGATGACGGAAGAGAAGACGGCACGCGTGGGACGCCCGACACCGTCAAAAGCCTGACGGCGCAGGTTCTATACGTGTACCCTTCTTTTAGACAATTTCAATAGGAGTAATTTTTTTTTTTTTTTTTTTTGTTTTGTTTTTGAGGTGTCAATTAAGAGAGAAGAGAGAAAATAAAGAAAAAGAGAAAAAAAAAAAAGATAAAACAAAACAGTTAACTCTTCAATTGGTGCGTGCACAACACATGCCCCAATGCCCGGGACGTTGTTTGTGCACGAAACGCACCCGGCTACGCCTCTTTTCTGCACTTTCTTTCTTCTGTGGGACTCACAAAAAACCATCCTCTTGTAGGAAACTACCAAATCTTCTCTCTCCTCACATACTTATGTTCTTCTAAAAAACTGAGCACAAACCACTATTGTGGTTACTATATCCTACTATTTCACTATTTTTAATACAAATTTTCAATTTTATTCCTATACCAATTACGAAATTGTAACGTTTAATTCATAATTTAATTTTATCACATTTTATTTGTAACTTTATTTTCAAATTTTATTCACTATTACAATTCTTTTTTTTTTTTTTTTTGAAGACATTCACTATTACAATTCTTAGTCAATTGATTTCAATTCTTCTGATTTGACAATTTTAATTTTCTATTTATGCTTTAAAAATGCTCATAAATAACGTAATACATAATATTATATTTAAAATAATAATTTTTCATGAACTTTTTTTTTCAACAAGAGAAAATTAAATTGTAAAACATGGAATTGTCCCAGAAATTAACTGTTTGATTGTTGAGGAAGTTAAAGCTAAAAGTTTATCGAGGAAATAAGATAGATACATTGTCATGAATAAACAACTGCTGTGTCTAGTGAATTAAGTTAGTAAACTTTGAGTTAAAATTACCATAATTTTATGTTGTTGCTTTTTTTTGCCTGTCTTGTTACTTTATTTTCCAATTTCCTCATTTCTTCATTTGGTTGGAGTTATGACAAAAATTCCAAAAACCCTTAAATTGGAATGAACAAATTTCTTTTGATGTTTCTTTTCTTCTTTTCTGTCACTCTCCATATGAAGGACCAGAAAAGGGTGTGGAGCCATATCGGCCCGAAGTTTTTGTGTAGCCACTAAATGGGGCAAATTATTCCGTGGACTCGGATCCACCTTACAAAGTGGAACTGGGTTCAAAAATACATCATTTATATACTGAATTTTTACAATTTTATATACTAAATATTCACAATTTGAATTGTAAACATTTGGTATATAAATTGTGTATTTTGACTTGGGTCCACATTGCAAGGTGGACCCGGGTCCATGGCATAACTCTCCACTTAAATGGTACCCAGGACAATGAATTGGACACATTATACAATGGATCATGGTTTACCTTATATTATGGACTTTGATCTAAAATAATATCCATATTATGTGTCTATAATTAAAATGTTATGTATTTTCAATTTATTTACAGACACATAATTTATTATCTACATATAATATGTTAAAAGACGCATCATTTTTAGTAAATGCAAGGTGGACCTGGTCTATAGTATAACAATTGACCGATTTGCCCTTGCCCTCAACACCCCCACCCATAAAAAGGGTCTTGGGAATATTATTTTCTGCTTGACAATGAATGTGGAAGGGGAAAAGGGATTGAGATCATGCTGCACCTTGGATCACGTGCCTAAATCTTGGTCCCAACATATTGCACTTCTTAAGTAGCTAGTGGTCCAATTCTTTTCCAAGACCCCCCCCCCCCCCCCCCCCCCAGTAATAAGAGAATCATTCTTTTTATGGTTGCTAATGTTGCACTTAAGTGCTATATCTATCACTCACATGAACCTTAACCATTTTTGCTTGCTTAGTTTCATAAAACAATGGGAATCAGTATAATGAAGCATCTCTGTTTTGACCATTTGCAGATCAAGGATATTGCAGTAAAGGTCTCTGGTGCATATAAATGCAAGTCCAGCATACCCACTGGCACTTGCAGGAAAGGGCAACGCCCCAACCCGGACTTCGATACCCTTACATCAGAGGCCATTCCCTTTCCTTACCAGCCTGGGAGCTCTGGTTCTACACCTGCATGGGATTTCACAAATGCTGCCCATTCCCAAACTCCTAGGCCTGGCTCGAGATTCGCTGGCGCCCGACCACAGGGCGGTGTAGATCCTGTCATCCAGTTTGGTGGAGTAGAGGAGTGGACTGCACAGGTGGAGCCTGGGATTCAAATCACCTTTGTGTCTCTTCCTCAAGGTGGAAATGATCTTAGGAGAATCCGCTTTAGGTATAATTAACAGCTACAAGCTCTGATACCATGTTATAATCTAAGACTGAACTATAATGCACATGGTCAATTTCATGACCTTATAAACTCATATATTTTCAATGTGGGACTCTTTTAACACTGGTGAATTGTTGAATGTGAAGCCGGGACATGTATGACAAATGGGAAGCTCAGAGATGGTGGGGAGAGAACTATGACAGGATAATGGAGCTGTACAATGTGCACAAATTTAACCAACAAGAAGCTCCCAGCACTCCCTCACAGTCTGAAAATGGGGTAAGTTTCTGGTGTCATTATTTGCACAAATCTCCATTGCAAAATTCAAACTTTTATCTGATTCCCAGAAGCCTTAATTTAAACTGTTGGTCCACAGAGAGATTCTTGTTATTCTCGGTTAGGGTCGTCCTCAAGAGAGAGCCCTAGGATGATGACTCCTGCACTGAGAAATTGCAATAATAATAAGCCTCCTCCTCCTATTGCACTGCCTGATCATGGAGGTAGCCAACACCATAAAAATGGAGAAATGTGTTGTATGGATGCATCAAGAACAACTACAGAATCCCGGGACGATGCTTCAATATCCATTAGCAATGCCAGTGAAATGGAGTCAGAGTGGATTGAACAAGATCAACCCGGGGTCTATATTACCATCAGACAACTTGCTGATGGCACTAGAGAACTGCGCCGTGTCAGATTCAGGTACTACATTCCCATTCCCATTCCCATTCTTGTTAGGATCATGCGCCCAACAATCCCCTAGTCACCTGGTGCGTTAGGCCTTCATTGCGTGCAACTTTAACCCTTCAGGCCTCCACCTAAACTCAAGCCCAACAATACAATGCCCCTAGCCACCTGGTGCGCTAGGCCTCCACCTGAACTCGAACCCGTGACCTGACTCTAATACCACTTATTAGATCAAACGTTTGCCACTATCTCAACAAATATAGCACGTAGTTTCTCTATATATTGCTACATTTTTTAAAGGCAAGGTGTTGGACTCGGCCCTTCAGACCTTGGCTAGCCACATGGTGCTGGACTTCCCTTCACTTGCCTTCGCCTAACAATATAGTCTAGAGCGCATGCAAAGAGTAAATCAAACAATTAGCTAGGCAATGATCTTCCTTGTTTATTGTTTTCACCTCTAAGCTGTTGTTCATATTTGACACAGCCGAGAAAGATTTGGAGAGATGCATGCAAAGAGCTGGTGGGAGCAGAACAGAGAGAGAATACAAGCTGAATACCTTTGAGGTATACTACTTTTACTAAAGGATTGGCATTTTCATACAACAATTGGATGGATATCCAAAGAAAGCTAAGGGCACTAATTTTTGCCCCTGATCAGAGACATTACAAGTTGACTTCACTACCATTATGAGGGTTAAAGGCTTTTTAGTATACAGTTGTTGAATTAGAAAGGATTCCCTTTGTTGAGTATTTAGTCTCTCCAGCCATTGTTCTTCAATACCTGACTGAATTTGCCAGTTTTTGTCTTCTGCTCATTGCTTTTTATGGCTTCAAGGATCTATTGCCTTTGTCTCTAATACATATGTATATACAGTTGTTTTCTTGGTAATACAAGTTTTGAATGTCACTATGGTTAATTATTAAAATAGGTAAACCATAATAGTCAGGATGTGTTTGGTTTATAAGTTAGACACAAGAAATGGGAATGAAAGTCGTACACATTGTTTGGTTGACATTTCGTTTTGATTTTTTGTTCATGGTGTTTTGAATGTCATATATTTGATTTAATTGCCTTGATTTTTTGTATTTTTAAAACGATAAGGACAATATGATTGCAATAATATTTTCTTGATTGATACGTCAGGTATTACAATTAAGTAGATTGTGAGAAAAAAAAAAAAACATTTTGTATGAGATCGAATAAGACATGAAGTTGTAATAATCGTAAAATGCCAATTTATACAAAGCCCGCACGTTGGGCAACAGGATTGGGCTAAATCCGGCTATTCCTATTGGACTTTAACAACATTGAGTCTTATATAATTTATTATTAGTCTTTTCTGTGTAAAAATAAATTCCAATTTTAATACTCAATATTAAAATATAGTTATATTGAAATTTTTTTTTTTTTTACATAATACTCCATAGTATATATAAGAATTTGAGATAAGGTAAATGGTAAAATACAATTATGATAGCATTTAATATATATTAACGGATGTTTAACTGTATAAAAGTAATTTTGTTCGATGAAAATAGTAGTCTAATATTTGTAGCATAATGTATAACTTAAAAGCATAGAAATATAGACATAAATCAAGGATATTAACTCGAAGTTAGTCTTATATATATGTTTTATAGATTTAGATTATATATTTATATTATTAATAGAAATAGTTTACTATTTAATGTTGAGCAATAAGCTAATTAAGGTGACATATAAGCTCTTAAAATAATTTCTTTACCATAATAAAGTATATATAGACATTGAGAACTTATGCCTGTGTCTAAAGATTTTTGAAGTTGCTAATGAAGTCACATATGTAGGTAGAAAGCAAAATGGCACACAAAGGCTACAAATATGATTCGGAAATTCGTTGTCAATAAACCCCAAAGGTTAATCCATGTAAACATTTTTATGCAATGTGTCATTCAAGATAAAATGCATTATTAATATCAAGTTGCCTCAAATTGAGGCTGCATTTAAAAAAAAAAAAAAAATTACCCTCATTTTGAGGGTAATTTTTTAAAAATTTATTTTTTAATTGAATCGTAGTAATTCCAAGTTAAATTTATTTTTAAATTTGCAATTTTTAATTGTTGGTATATAAGTATATTTCGTATTTAATATTTTGTATTTTATTCTGAAATTATTCTATAGACAATTTTGAATGAAAATTTTAATATCGTATTAATTATTTGAACTAATTTATGAAATCGAAATTTGTAATTTAAAAATTATTTTATTTCGTATTTAAATTTAAAATTATAATTATAGGAAAGTGAATAAAATAACTGATGATGCGAAGGAGGGTAAGGTCTACAAGATGGGGGATAAGGGGAAAGTAATTAGAGAGTGTTAGGAATATATGTTATAGATTTTGATGAGTCAAAATGTAATTTGAAAAATTATATATATCCCTATATTTATTTTGTAAATTGTTTGCTCAAAACTATCTAGGCGTCAAGAAGATCACATGAGCAGTACAAACTGCAGATTTTTTAAGAAGCAGCAAAGTTCTTAAAAGATTTCAGAAATTAAAAAGAACAACAAAGTTTTTTAGATTAATTTCTGTAAGCAGTAGAGTTTTAAAGGAGAAAGTTTTTCAAAAATAAATAAGGAGAAGAGTCCTCAAAATTAACTCATTAGCGTGCAACAAAGTTTTTGGAAACTAGTACAAGTTTATTAGGAGAAGAATTTTTGAAAACTAGCTCATGAGCAGCATAATTATTAAAGAGCAAATTTTGTGAGTAGAGTTTCTAAGGAGCAAAGCTTTCAAGCAACAAAGTTGAAGCAAAGGACACCTCAAGATTGGAATTCTACTGTATTTAAATTTTTACACAAATTTCAAGAATGATACATGCCAAATATGGAAAAGTTCTATAAGTCATTAAAGCCTGATTCGCAGACCAAGTAGTAAGGAAAAAATTTTAACATGTCAGATCAAGTTACTGCATGCAACAGCCAAAAGTGAAGATCAAATTTTCAACACATCAAATCAGACTACAACAACGTAACCAAGAATTCAAAATCAAAGCTATCTCACTCCAACGGATAGATTTGATTATTTATAAAAGGGCATGAAGAGTTAAAGACAAAGATAATCGATCAACGAAGAAAAGAGCACATACACGAAAGAGCAAGCACAAAATCTTCAAATTTTGATACATTTATTCTTCATAAAAAATATCCAGTAGAAAAGAGACTAAACTTTCTAAAAAGTCTCTAAGAGTTAGAGAGAAAAATTCATTTTTCTTGTATCTCTACAAAGTATAGATAATGGAGAGTAACAATGAGTACTGTGAAATCTTGAGATAATTAAGTGTTGGCTTTTTTATCAAAGCACTTTATCAGTGTGATAGGTGACTGTGTTGGCTTTGTGTTCAAACTTCAAAGCACTTCATATGTGAGATCTAGTGATAAATGATGGCTTTGTGTTCAAAGCACTTTATTTGAGAGATCTGAAGATCATGTCGACTTATCAAGGCACTGGAGTCGAAATACTATATCTTGTATCTAGTTGTTTGATATAATGAATTCTTCTAAAAGATAGAAGTAGAGTGGAGTAGAAGGATTACATGCACATTCAAACCACTATAAAAATTATCTCTATTATCTACTTTATTTAATTATTTTACGTATTGCATGCTATTAATATTCACAATCATCTGAGTTCTTAAAGCATACGCGTACTATTTACGTACATTTATTCCACATGCACATTTTGAGTTAGATTATTGTATAAGATTAATTAACATTGAATATTCTTCATACTTATTCTAATTGTTATCTAGCTTTTTAAGAGTTGTATCTGAAATAATTTAAAAAGTCTATTCATCCCTTCTCCCCTCTCTCCTTTAGACTTTTTTACCATTTAATCGAGATCAATAGAGAGAAAATAATGAAAAAAAAAATTATATGATGATATAAAAGAGTTGAGTAGATGAAACAAATATGGAGATTTAGGGAAGAAAGATTTGAGCTGTATCACTGAAACTCTCGCCCGTTTACTAACAGAAAACTGTTCTATGTTTGCTATTTTCTAATTTTCAGGTTTTCATTCTCGGTTTTCTGTTAAAAAAAAAAAAACTTGTTTACCAACAATTTTTTTTATTTTTTATTTTTTTAGATTAGCGTTATAAAATTAACACAAATTTAATTTCGAGTAATTTTTAGATCTTATATTTAAAATATTTTTACATATGTTTGGTTTAAATAGAATAATTATTTTTTTTACTTTTAAGTCTAATATATGTAATATTTTTACATAAAAATTTAAAAATATATCTGAACCAATAACCTACTAAGTTGACCTAAAATTTAGTTTAGATAATATTTAATAATTTTTGAACTAATATTTAAAATATTTTTTGGATATATTCATTTGAATGACGTGTATATGAATATATAATTTTTACTTTGAATTCTAATATATGTGAGATTTCAATATCTGATATCCGGACCGAACTTGTATTACGATATAACATAACTAAAAATATCCGAAATAATAATCTATTGAGTTCAATCAAAATCTAAAACATTGTATAGAGTTCAATTATATTCTTAATTTTGATTTTGATAATGTAAATAATGTCTAAATTTAAAGTGTAAGCATATAAGTTATGTTTAAATAAGTAAAGTAAGTAGAAAAGATAGAAGATGATAATAAGTAAAATGAGATGATAATGAATGTAATCATAGTAAGGTGGTTATAGTGACATATGACCAAATAGATGATATATGATTCTGTTTTTTTTTATTTAAAAAACAGTTTTTAAGAGTGAAAAATTATTTTCAATTTTCATAATGAAAAACTGTATTAATAAACATGTTTTCTGTTTTCAATCATCTAATTCTCTAATTTTTTAGAGAGAAAATTTTCTATTAGTAAACAGACAATGCATGTTCAAAAGATTAGCTAAAAATCAAGATTTCATTTGAGCTTTTTGGCGGGGCCCGTCACTTGGAACGAAGTCAGTGCCAGACAGCTTTTTCCCAGTCACTATCAGACATACTCACATACAGCTCTATAAATTTTCAGGCCAAATAAATATCTTGCAAGTTGCAACACGTAAATTAAAAGATTTTACAGTATAATAAATAATTTTGTATTATGTATAAAAATTAAAATAATACTCCCTCTGTCCCATTTTGAATGTCTTACTTTCCTTTTTAGTTTGTCCCAAAATGTTGTCCTCTTTCCAAAATTGAACATCACCATCATTCTACTTTTTCTCAAATTACCCTTATGACTTTTGCTTTTATTCCCAAAAGTGAAAAAGTGAAGGGCATAATTGGAAAATACATAACATTTACTTTAATTCCTTAAAAAGCGTGCAAAAAGCAAATGAGACAACCAATTCGGGACGGAGGGAGTACTTTTTATCATATATATATATATATATATATATATATATATATTGAGAATACTTTTATCAAATATAAAATACATTTACTTTATAAAAAAATTAAGTGTGATACTATAAATTTTGTTCAAACTATATTACTATTATTATCCGGATCCTATATGGCTATATGATGTAACTAATTCAATTAAACTTTAATTAAGTCATATTTAATACAATTTTTTTAAATACATAAATGGTCGAATTCTTGTCTTTCTTTATATTATAACTAGTTTTTTTATGCGCATTGCGCGATTGAGATAATGCCCAATATTTTTTTTTTTAAAAAAAAGTACTATAAAATATATCAATGCAAAATTATATTAGAATTGTTCATGCATAGATAATTGAATGTTGAATTTGCGTATTTAAATAGGTAATTCTAAGTTTATAAATGCAAGATTATATAGTCAAGATTGATTATAATTGTCAATAAAATAATTGTATGGGTATGGTTGAAACCAAATACGAAAAATAAAGGGGAGCAAATAAAAATTAGGGCATAAAATATTAAATATATACTAATATTGAAGAGCTAACTGCTGATTGCCAAACAAGGACATTGCGAGATAGTTTCTCACTTTAATTTGTTGTGTGATTTGAATACTCTTTTTGTCAATAAATCTCCCAAGTAGTTAATATGATTGGCTTAATTATACTTTTTTTTTAATTTTTTTATAACAATTATTATTATTATTATTATTATTATTATTATGAAATATATGTATACCCTTAGGTCATTTTACATGTTAATCTAAACGGGGGCTAATTTCTTCAAATATCTTTTTACCAACTGTTGATATAATTCGCTGGTCAAATCCGCTAACGCTAACCGCTAACTGCTGATTATCAAACAAGGACATTGCGATATAGTTCTCACTTCAATTTGTTGTGTGATTTGAATACTCTCTTTGTCAACAAATCCCTCAAGTAGTTAATATGGTTGGCTTTATTAATTATGTTTTTTTTTATTTATATTTTTTCATGGTATTTAGTAAAATACTTGGTAAATAAATATATAGCATTATTTTGTATTATAACTTTGATATTTAATTAAAAAATAGTGCACAAAAAAGATAATAGACAATGTAGTGAATATAATTAATTGATTAATTTGAATGTAAAGAAGTTTTACTTTGGAGAAAAATAAATTAAAGACAATATAACTAATGAAATTATTTCTCTTATTTAATTTATTGAAACATTGTACACAAATAATTTTAAATTAAAGAAATGCATATGTATTATTTTTTGTTGTAGCTACTAAATTATTAATTATTATTAGTTTAATAAGAGTAAAATAGAGTACTAATTATGCCAACTTTAATTTGATTGGGATGGGGTTCGAACCTGAGACCTTTCTTATTAAAATCAATGAGTAAGTTAACGGTGAACTAACAGAAACTAACGGAAAAGATAATATTTAACGGAAAAGTTAATGGATAATCATATTCATTAAGGATAAATTAGGAAATCTCAAGGAAAAATTAAAATCTGATTAATATGAACCATTCATTTGATTAAAAAATTTGACCGCCATTTTTTCTACCTATTATAGGCCTAACTCTCTTAGGCTCTTATTAGTATAGTAGATAGTAGATATAGTAGATATAGTCAAGATTGATTATAATTGTCAATAAAATAATTGTATAGGTATAGTTGAAACCAAATACGGGACATAAGGGAGAACAAATAAAAATTAGGGCATAAAATATTAAATATATACCAATAGTGTTTGAGGAGATTCCAACATTAGGATTTGTGGTTAAGTTCTATTAAGACTTTAATATTAGAATTAGATTAATGGTGTAGTTATAATTTTATATTAGACTTTAATATTAGAATTAGACTAACGGTGAATTAACGGAAAAGTTAAATGGATAATCATATAATTAATGATAAATTAGAAAATCTTAAAAGAAAAAAAATTAAAACCTGAACAATATGAACCATTCATTTGATTTAATCATTTGGCGGTCATTTTTTCTACCCAATGTTAATAATTAAATAAATTCGCTGGTCAAATCCGCTAGTATAATCCGCTAACGCTAACCGCTAACTGCTGATTGTCAAACAAGGACATTGCGAGGTAGTTCTCACTTCAATTTGTTGTGTGATTTGAATACTCTCTTTGTCACAAAATCTCTCAAGTAATTAATATGGTTGACTTTATTAATTATATTTTTTTAATTTTTTCATGGTATTAATAAAATACTTGGTAAATAAATATATAGCGTTATTTTGTATTATAACTTTGATATTTAATTAGAAAAATAGTGCACAAAAAAGATAATAGATAATGTAGTGAATATAATCAATTGATGAATTTGAATGTAAAAATTTGTACATTTGAGAAAAATAAAGACAATATAACTAATGAAAATATTTCTTTTAATTAATTTATTGATAATTAATAATTTTTTTTCACTGAATAAAGACATTGTAAGGACAATGTAGCGAATATAATCAATTAATAAATTTGAATATAAAGAATTTTTATATTGAAGAAAAATAAAGACAATATAACTAATAAAATTATTTCTCTTATTTTTTTTTGAATGCTACAAATTATTTCTCTTATTTAATTTATTGATAATGAATAAATTTTTTTTTTGAATAAAGGCATTGAAGACACATAAATTTAAATTAAAGAAATGCATATGTATTATTTTTTGTTGTAACTACTAAATTATTATTTATATATATAATTTAATAAGAGTAAAATAGAGTACTAATTATGCCAACTTTGATTGGGATGAGGTTCGAACCTAAGACTTTTTTTTTTATTGAAATCAATGAGTAAGTTAATGGTGAACTAACGGCTATTCTTAAAATTTTAACGGAATTAGTAACGGTGTGTGGGTATTTTAAGAAATTTTAGTGTAAAATTTAAATCTGATCAATCTTTTAATCAATCTGAGCCATTCATTTGATTAAAATCTGTGACCGCCATTTTTTCTACCAATTATAGGCCTAACTCTCTTGGGCTCTTATTAGTATAGTAGATATAATTTTTTTCATAATACTCGAAAATAGGAAATATTTATATTTGGGACAATTTAATTACATCAAATCAATTCTTTTTCTAAAAGGTCGAATCTCGAAACACAAGAGTCCCTTCACCTCGGCCCGACAGAGCATTTGTGAGAATGTAATTACGATGACTCAATGACTCAGTAGATAGGACTAAATGTCGGCATCTGCCCGCTTTGGACATAATCCACATTGTGGTTAGAGTAATACAAAAAATGGTCCCTCGACTATAGCTAAATTCATAAATTGGTCATCGATTTTTAATTTTAACCAATTAAGTCCTTAACTTTGCAATTTTAACACGATTTGGTCCTCCGTCTATTTGACCGTTTGTTGACTGTGATTTTTGAGAATATATATGTAATTTCATGGTCGATCGTCGATTTTTTAAGGTTCCGGTTGCATTTTCAGGCCGCACTGTTACATTTGAATCCACTGCCGAAAGCAATCTGCCAAATCCTGTCGCCTTTCTTCATCCCCTCTTTGGATTTAATGTAGTTGAGTTCGTATCAGAGCGAAGAGTTAAGAAAAATGTGGTGTTACATGGGCAATAGACTGTGTCACGGCAGCGGATGAAGGCAGGCGGCAGTGAAATTACATATATATCCTCCGAGATCACGGTCAACAAACGGTCAAATAAATGGAGAATCAAATCGTGTTAAAATTGCAAAGTTAAGGACTTAATTGGTTAAAATTAAAAGTCGAGGACCAATTTGTGAATTTAGTTATATTTGAGAGACTATTTTGGGTATTTACTCTTGTAGTTATCAAGATTCAAACTTTAATCTTTTCTTTTAAATACTATCTATTAAACCATTAAGCTAAACTCATGCGGATTTAATTACATCAATTCTTTTGTGAGGACGGTGTTATTAGAATTTTTTTTTTCTTTTTCATTACAGTATTAAAAAAAAAAAAAAAAAAAAAAAAAACGAATACAGTTGCCCGTCCTGTCCGCTCTTAAATATAATTCCTCAGGGCAATCCCTTCGCCACTGCCCGCTCTCTTTTTTTTTTTTTTTTTTTCTGTTTTGCATAATTTATTTAAGCTATCAGAGAGGGATCCGTTTTTCTTCCCGTTTTATTCATCAACCGTCAACATGAGTCTCTTCGGTCTTGGAAGGTAAATTTAGTTTAGATTTAATGTTAATGTTTTCTGTTCTTTTTCCTATTGGCATTCAATTCGCTATGATTTGTGTATTGTTTATGATCTAGGATCAGTTTGCATCAGATCTATGGATGTTCGTCTCTCCGTCTTGATTCTAATCATGATTCTAATTATTGTTCTGGATTTTTTTTTTTCCTGATCTTCTTTGCTTTTCCTTTGGAATTTGCATTCCTGAAGTGTCTCATCGTACAATACTAGATTTAAAATTATTGGATTGATCCGGATATTTCGAAAATGAAATGAACTTGTGTATATATATTTTTTTTAAAAAAAAGGAAAAGAAGAAATTGAATTGGATAATAGTAAAGGATTTTCACTTCTCCCTTGAATTCATATATGCATTTGCATGTATTATATAGATCCTTTTGTGGCTGGTTTTTAAGGGGAATGGCTCTGTTTTGGATTGAAACTAGAAATCAGATTAGCTAGCCAGAGTTTTGTTGTTAAGAATGGATCCGGCAAATCAAATTAATGACATGCAATAGGAAATTTGGAGAAGGCATCAACGAAATGATAATATTTACTGTACTGCAAATGCTGTTTGCTAGAACGGTGAGATAGCGATAGTTATATGCAAATGTGGATAGAATCTTGCTATGTTCATTCCTGCATGTATGCCTCTATGTAATGGCAGAGCTACATGACTCGCTGGTTGATGATTACAGCATTGGTTTAAAGTCTTAATATGTCATTGCTATCTTTGTTGGATTTACTAGCTAGTTGCAATATAGTTTGTGGTTAGTGCTACTTTCATACCATACTCTTCTTATGCGAGAGGCCGAGAGCTCTTAATGTTTAATACTTGAATGGTGATGAATTATCAATCCATAAAAGAATAATGACTAGAAGTATTAAATTATATACCATATATTACTTTAAATATCAGCAGGTAAAAAAATTGTTGTCCAGACAAATCATATTCAAAAGAAATATACATGCAATTTGATAATAATTCAGTTCTAAAATAAATAAATAATTGAAATTTTAGTTACTATATGTTAAAATTGATATATAAACTAGCATGTAATCGTCTGTGCTGATGTGTAAGTGAAAGCAGTAATTATTTTGAATTGGTTGTTAGTGGCAACTTTGAGCTGCTTTGCATTTTGCCAATTGCGGTGTATGTTTGCACTTTATTATGATCTGCAGCTGAAAGTTCTTTATGATCTATACTTTGCCATTTAAAGAGTGATCTGCCATCAATGCTTTGACTGCTTTTCTTGTGTGCTTTTTTCACCCTTCATTTATTCCTAATGCCTAATATGATATTTCTACTCAGGAACCAGAGAACGTTCCGCCCCAAAAAAAGTGCCCCCTCTGGGAGTAAGGTTGCACTTTTTCATACACAGAATAGTTGCCTCATCTTTTTATATTCTCTGGATTGTTATGGCATGCTAGGTTCTACCTGCATGGCTGCATCATGCTGACATTTTATGCCCTAATTTTGAGAAAGGAAAAGATGAAAGAATCTTTAAGTTCAAATAGATCTAGTTTATTTGATTTTGTCTCTCTTCCAGTCATAGCATGACCAACCTTCAAGGTATCCAATTACCTTGGTGCTATCACATATTATCACATCAATGGTGATTTAGATAACAGTTTCAGACTTTTTCTTGCAAAGTCGAAGGTAAAGTTTGTTAGGGAACCAATGTAGTCTAGGATTGGTGGTTAAGGAAATGATTTAGTCCAACTCCAAAGGTGTTCATGTCGGATTTGATACACAAGAGGTAGGCTACAAGTTTTCTAAAATGATTCCCCATTTGATGTGATTTTGAAATCTGGGCCAGAATTATAACCAAATTCAGTTCCTAACACTTGAAAGGTCATATCATCTAATAATTCATGAATGATGCATATTTAATCATTATCATTTTGTATTGCAGGGAGCGCAATTAAGAAAGCATATTGATTCAACTTTAGGCAGTGGAAACTTGAGAGAAGCTGTAAGACTTCCTCCAGGAGAGGACATTAATGAATGGCTTGCTGTCAACAGTACTCTCTCTCTTCCCCTCTCTTCATTCCATCATATTTAACCAGTCACCTGAAAATCCTTTCTCTTGTACCTTTTGTACCCTTTCTTGTTTGTTTGTTTGTTTTATTTATTTATTTATTTCCCCATATACCTGAGTTGAAGGTGGTTGAGAGTCTTCATAACACCCTTCATGTCTAAAGACATGCAATTCTTTCTAGTTCATCCTCTGAAGATGTACTCTTTTTTCTTGGTGGTTGTGGTGGTAATTTATATGCATATGTGTGTGTGTGTGTGTGTGAGTATAGTGTTTAACCAACTTCATAAAGTTATTTATAAACTATTATTTGAATGTCCACACCCAACAGGGTGCTAAGACTAATACATATGATGCCATTGTTTTTTGCACTTTAGGTTTAAATTTTATACTATTTTGATTGATTACTTCCCTGCTTTACTAGAATACTAAGAATATCTATACTGAATAGGTGTTATTTTACTCATTTTTCCAGCTGTTGATTTCTTCAACCAAGTAAATCTTCTGTTTGGAACCCTCACAGAGTTTTGCACACCAGAGAACTGTCCTACAATGGCAGCAGGTCCCAAGTATGTCCAGTACTAAATGCTTTGTTGATGATTTTACCAATTACTTCCTGTAAAATTTCAAAATTATATTGCTTGGATACATCTAAGTTAGAGCTCTTTTTGTTTCAAAATTAACCTTTTTTAGGAGGAATATTCTATTGATAAAAATTTAATGACTATAATAGTCACGTCTTAGTTCCTCTTCTAACCGTAAAATGTTTTGGATGTGTATTCTTCATTATGTATATTTTGAACAATGGACAATACTATTTTATCTAGTTCCCCTTAAAATGTTTGGATGTGATATTTCTTTAAAAGAATCAACATGTGTCCTACAGAATTGTAGAACTACTATGTTCCAAATTAATTAGTGTATTGGATCTGGGCGGAAAGTTCAACTTTTCCCTAGAATACTATACCTGTCTGCATTATTTATGACATAGGTTAACCTCCTTAATTTACTTTGGTGCAAAGCAGTAGGGTTGTTTCCAATATCTTCTGTGGACTTCTTCCTGTTTTATGTACCTTAGGCATCTTATCCTCATTCTACAGAATTTATTCTTTCACAAACCAGTTTTCATTTTTTTTTTTTTTTTTTTTGGTTGATTAAGAAACCCATAATGTGAATGATTAAAGAAGAAAATATATTATTCTATGTTAAACATGTTTGAAGTATAGAGAGAAGAGTGTGCATCAATTGGAAATGAAAAATATCTTTAAGAATTATATTTAATCTGAAGCATCTCATGCACAAAGTATTCATGTTCACCAGATACATTTTTGGATGACATAGTAATTTCAACAACCACTTTAATAGCATAAAATGTTTTCTTGTGTGAAATGGCAAGTTATTCTTGAACCGTAGTAATTAATTTAATTCCTATTTACTTTATTATTATTTCAAAAATATAAATTTTTTCCAAATTTATCATGATTTCCATCACAAGAAGCCTACACTGTTTGAAGTGCGATGTCATTTGGCTGATATGGGTATTGCTTTTCAGGTATGAATATAGGTGGGCTGATGGTGTGCAAATAAAAAAACCTATTGAAGTTTCTGCACCAAAATATGTTGAATATTTAATGGATTGGATTGAGGGTCAGCTAGATGATGAATCTATATTTCCTCAAAGGCTTGGTAATTTTCAAATTGACTTAATTACTCCATAATACCCTGTTCTTGTTTTTTTCTTTTTATTGGTTGGTTATATCTTCTACTTGCCTTTTCTGCTTGCATATCAAAGCAGAATTCTTGTTGACTTTTTGTTTTATATGCTGAATTTTACAGGTGCACCATTTCCATCCAACTTCAAGGAAGTTGTGAAGACAATATTCAAACGCCTGTTTCGTGTATATGCTCATATTTATCACACCCATTTTCAAAAGATTGTGAGTCTCAAGGAGGAGGCCCATCTAAATACCTGCTTCAAACATTTCACACTATTTACCAATGTGAGTTCTTGCAATCTTGAGTCTGAAGCTGTTATTATTTCTTTGAATTTTGTGTTGTTTTTGCAATCAATGCTTGTCATCTTATCATGATGTTATCTATGTTTATACTGAATCACTGGGTATTATTCTTTTCAAGTATCATTCGCTATAGCCAAGATTAACATTGATGATATCTACCAAAAACCCCTCATAGTCAACTAAATGCAAAAACTTAAGCCGTGTATCTTCAAAACTATTTTAGAATTGTTCTTATAATGTGTTTTCTTGTAGCCAGAGCTCGGGTGTGACTACTAATTCTTATCACGGCTTCTGTGCAGGAATTTGGGCTGATAGACAAGAAGGAGCTTGCTCCACTCCAAGAGCTGATAGAGTCTATTATTGCCCCTTATTGAGCATGCCCTCGACTTTATTTTCCTTGAAAAATGAATTGCTAGAGATTAAATGCATCTCATCATGTAATAAAAATGTCAAATAGATATTGAAATATAGCTAATTTATCCCTTTTTCCCCAACTAATGTTCCCTGCATGACTAAAAAATGTCCATATAGTAGCCGCCATTGGAAGGAGCTAATGTGTATATCATTGGTGTAATGAATGTATCATTGACGGAATGTGTATCTTAGATTGTAAGTGAATGCTCTATTTAAACGTTTGATGTGTAATAGAGAATGTTATGAGTAAAACATTTATTAAAGAATTTTTCTTGGTTGTGTATTTGCTGTTGCGTGGCGTGGCCGCGTGGGCACTACCACTTGAGTTGCGGAATGCGTAATGAACGTGCAAATAAAGTAAGTTGATTGATCTGGAAGGGGTTCAAAGGTGTATAATTACAATGCAGGTTTTTTTTTTTCAATACATTAAATTTCTCAGCTTACGCTAGAGAAATACTAAAACATGCGGATTTTATGAATGAAAAAAGAATGGTATTGTCATCTTTATCTCTTAGAGGCAATTTGGGGCCTCGAGAGTCGAGTCATCAATTGGTTTGTCTAGTTTGGCATCTATAAATTCGTACAGATTTAGCTCATTAATTCAATAGACAAAATTTAAAAGAAGAGACTAAGGTTAAAACCTCGACATTTAATCCTGTCTGCTGAATCATTGAGTCAGTATAATTTATGTCCTTTTAAATTTTATGTCGAACCGAGATGAAAGAGATCCCTGGGGTTGGAAAAATAATGTGTTGACTAAATGGCATTAACTTTGCTGTTGCTCAATTCAGATCCCATGTGGCTTTATGCTTTGAGATCCCACTAGGAGATTGACAACATAAAAAAATTTCCTTCAATAATTTTCCCCAACATATCATTATTTGATTAGTTACTTTATTTTTTTATTAAAAATTAATGAAGTCAATTAATTCATAGCATTCAATAATTATAAGTCATATCATGGAAAAAATTTAGGAAGGAAAAACCTAAAAGGAATAAAAAGTTTCTTAAATAAATAAATTGATCTCAAAATGCTTGATAGACACAACAAAATTTTTGAAGTATACAATACATCTTTTTCCTAAACTGAAATCAAATATTTCGTACAAGTAATTGTAACTCTTCATGAGACAAATCCAACCATAGAAAGGCTTGAAGCAGCACCTATTTGGCTACAAGCTTTATGAAAGAGTTGATAGAAGTGGTTGAGCTCTCAGGAAAACCAACCTCAAATTTTGATTTCAATGCCATGGCTCTACTATGAACCTCTTCATCACTCATCAATTTATCAATTCCTCGAACTATTTCATCTTTCTTCACCGTCTCGGTTACATCTTTGTCGCTAAAAGGTATGTGCCCGACTTTTAAATGATTGGCGATTAATTTTGCATCGAAAAACTGATCGCCTCTAATTGGCCATGCCAGAATCGGAACTCCTCGTCCTATGGATTCCAGTGTTGAATTCCATCCACAATGCGATAAAAACCCTCCCGTGGAGGGGTGGCTTAAGATTAATAGCTGGGGTGCCCATCCCTTGATGATCAAACCTTTATTCCCAATTCTTTCTTGTAAACCGTGGGGATAGTAACCCTCATCTGCTGGATCTGAACCGGGAGTTTTGTCGCCGAATAGACTGGCGGGTGGACCGGGTTTACCTGAACCCGGTTGAATAACCCAAATGAATGGCCGGTTTGATTCTTCTAGTGCATTTGCTAGCTCTTCAGATTCTTCCATGGTGGGTGCAACTTCACTTCCGAATGACACATAAATTACTGACCGGTCTGGCTTTGAGTTCAGCCATTGAACCACCTCTTCTTCGGTGAAATTGGAGCTCCGGTTCGACGACCGAACCTGGTGGTCATGGAGGATTGAACCGGCTGATTCCCAAAACTGAGCCGGCAGCGACGGCCCAACTCCCCAGATGGGTTTCTGAATCTGGTTTGATAAATATTCGATGAATGGACGCTCAAGATCATCGCAGGTGTTAATTAGAACCGCGATTGAGGACTCCACCCCATCCAACCAATGCGGTCTACGACCCGGTCCACGTGGACCGCCCGGTCCATTTGGACCGGGCCTTACGAATCCATTACCACGGTGAAGGTGAGGAGGAGGAGCGTGACGGTGGCGCCTCTGCGTCTCGGAATGGGTCAGAGCCATATGTTGGGGCAACCCGGGAAGAAATCGGGTCTCGCCCGGCTTCAACTCGTCGGCCTTATTCTTCCAGGCGGCGAATTCCATGGCGGCGGAGCAGGCACCGCAAGTGAAAAACGAGACTATGGGTATTCCCATTCCGGCGAAGATCTCCTTGCTCCAGCTCATCATCACGTCAACCACCACGCAATCGGGTCGGGTCACGGCCGCGCCGCCATACCTCTCGGCCAAGAAACTCTCAATCCCACCCCCCAACCGTTGTTGGTCTTGACGAAATGGGTGCGGCGGCGGTGCATTCATCTCCGGCGGGGGCGGAGGTGGAAGCGAGGCGGCCGAGATTTCAACGACTTGTACAGAAGAATGGCGGCGCAGATCGGAGGGGACGGAGGAGGAGAGATGAGAGGGGATGAGAAGAGTGGATTTGTAGTTGAAAGAAGAGAATTTCCTGCAAAGCTCCATGCTAGGGAAGAGGTGGCCTTGCCCAAAAAATGGCACCACCAAAATCTCTCCTGCAATTGCTTCCATTATTGAACCTGCTTTTGTTCAGTTGCAGAGTTGCAGCAACTAAATATATAGACGATGCAGGCCAGCGCAATATCAACATTAAATAACGTAGGAAACTTAAGAAGAAAGAAATAGCCAAATAAATATCCAACGACTTTAACTAAAATTATTCTAAACTTTAAATGTTAAAAACATAATGCAACTATGATAGATTAAAAATTGTTTATCTATGTATGAGAGTTAAGTCTAGTATATGCTATAGCAAGAATACATGTGAGGAAGATAAGGAGGAGGTGACACAGATTTTAAGGGTGCTTCAGGCTTTTAATTTTGAAAAATATCTAGATTTACTCTTTTGTTGGGAGGAATAAAAAAGCAGCATTTGCTTATATTGAGAATAAAATCAGGAAGAGAATTGCATCCTGTAACAAGAAGTTATTATCACAGGCTGGTAAGAAAATCTGGTTAAAAAGTGTTGTCCAAGGTATGCTTATTTTTTCAATGAGTGTTATATCTGTTTGCACAGCTATTGGGAGAACAATGAATCGTTATTAGTGGGGATCAGGAACTGACTTGCGGTATTCATTGGAAAGCAGGGGAGAGCATTTAATGGGATATATTATGTATCCCTAAAAAGTATGGGGACCTGGGATTCAAGGGATCTGAGAGCATTTAATTTGGCAATGCTGGGTAAGCAAGTATGGCGATTGCTTACTAACACTGACTCTTTGGTGTCTCGTGTGTATAGGGCAAGATACTACCATAAACAATCATTCTCTCAAGCACGTTTAGGAAATAACCCTAGTTGTTGTTGGCGAAGTATTATGGCAGCTAAAGGTGTGATATGTAGTGGTGTGAGACGACGTATTGGAAATGGAAATTCTACCTTAATTTGGGAGCATCAATGCCTCCAAGATGACTTAGATCCTGTTATTCAGATGCCACCTCAGCTGGCTGTGGCTATAGTGGTGGGTTTAATAGATTAGGATACTGGGCCGTGGGATCATCATATTCTCTCTGATATTTTCCAACCCTGTGATGTGCCTCGAATCTTGAAGATACCGATTTCCCCAGAGTATGAGGATGTGTGGTATTGGCATGTGGATCCTAACGGTTGCTACTTTTTTAAAAATGTCATTATTGGGAGTAATGATGGTGCTTTTGATAAATGGCTTACCATATGAAAGCTTAAAATCCCACCCAAGTGGATATCATTCACACTACCAACAATTTGCTTATAAAGAGCGTATATATTGATCCGATTTGTGTCATGTGTGGAATCATTCATTAGGACACTATGCACTCATTAGTATTGTGTGGCTATGCAAATTCCATATGGGCTCAATCTAACCTTCCACTCCCCAATATTGTGACAAATGTTTTCTATGTATGGTTTAGTGCAATCTTGAATGTTCTAGACACTAATGGAATTATGTACGCAACTGCAATTTTATATCATATTTGGAGAGCGCGAAATGGAGCACTTTGGGACGCCTATCTTCCAATGCCGAAGAAATTGATTGCCGCAGCGGCTGCCACCATGCAGGCATGGCAACGAGTACACCATGCGACTGCCGACCGTGCACCAGCCGAACAAACCGCCGCTGCCAACAATGCCGAGTCGGCACTGCCTCCACCGCCACTGCCTACTGTTCCGACCCAGATTGCTGCGACACGGCCGATGAGGTGCTACGTCGACGCCGGGTATCATCAAACCACGAACTCGGCCACGATCGGAGCAATCCTTCTCGATGCCGAAGGTGGTTATGTGTCGGCCTACAACGCTTCCCTCTCGATTTGTTTCTCCCCACTTATGGCCGAAGCATTCGCGTGCAAAGAGGCCTTGTCATGGCTAAGGGCTCGTGGAGAACAATCTATAGAGCTATACACAGATTGTCATACACTTCAATGCTACCTATCTTCACCAGGTGCTTCGTATATTGGTTATGCTATTGATGGTTGCAAAGCTTGCATATCTACATTTGATTTTTGCTCAATTAATTTTATTCCTAGATCATAGAATTATTTAGCTCACACTTTAGCTTCTACAACTTTTGAACATGGTACGGCTATGTATTGGGACGTTGTCCCGCCTGACTCTATTTCAGTTTTTTTTTTTTTTTTTTTTTTTTTTTTGACTCTATTTCAGTTTATCTCTAAATAAAACCGCATTGGTTTGCTTTAAAAATAAAAACATAATGCAACTAACCAATCTTGTCCCTTAAGAGAGATTGAGAGTTCGAACCCCTTCTCTCTTCTTGTATGAAAAAATCAATCTGGTCAATACTTTATTCTTTAATTAGGTTTGTCCGGTGCGAACGAGAATTGGTCTGAGTATGGTACGGACTTTGTGCATCTTACAGTTAGGGCGACACCTCGCAAAAAAAAAAAAAAAAAAAAAAAAAACATAGTACACCCACCTCGCATGCCTTATTGCATGGTTTTGACGTGTATTTACCAATATTTCCTTACCGGCCTTAGGAAGGATTCTCTTATTCCAACCACCTACCCGTTGTTTAAATGATATTTAAAAAATGACGTTATTAACAACTCAAAATCCTCATTTTTCCATCTTAGTAATAAAAACACAGATCTTGTGAAATTCTATGAAATAGACTTACACCTACCCGTTGTTTAAATGATATTTAAAAAATGACGTTATTAACAACTCAAAATCCTCATTTTTTCATCTTAGTAATAAAAACACAAGTCTTGTGAAATTTTATGAAATAGACTTATGCACTACTAAAGTTTATGATGAAGTAGACTAGTAATTTTTCAATTGCACTTTATTATTATTATTATTATTATTAATTTTGTAGTTGACTATTTATAATAATTTTATTATTGTATCTTCGATGTGGACCATGTATGATTAAGCAAAAATATATACAGGCTTACGTTCAATAATTTTATGTAGTTGACTTATGTAATTATAATAATTATAATTTTATTATAATTATTTTTTATTACTGTATAATAATGTTATGTAGTTGACTTATGTATTTATAATAATTACGGAGTATAATTTTATTATAATTAAATAATTAATATTGAATGTAAACATGTATATATTTTTCAAGTAGCGTTTCAAAATAAGCTACATGCTTTTAACATTTTATCAATTTTTTATCATTATTAATTTATAAAAATAATATCATTTATCATTCTTTAATAAAAATCTTAATACTTAATTTTTTTTCTAAACACTCTTCCTAGTTCTTTACCATAGGTGTATTTAAAAAAAAAAATATTGCTAAACTTTATTGTGGGATGCTAGATCATAAATGTGATATATATATATATATATATATATATATATATATATATATATATATATATATAAAAGGAAAGGATCAGTTGTGGGAATGGCGGTTGTGCGGTTGGACGCACTACATTAAGCATTAAACTGACGCACTTTAAGTACACAACACACGCACATTAAGCACACAAACAAAACATCTTAAGAACACTAATCTTACGCACATTAAGTACAAAACCCACGCACCTTGAGCACAAAACTCATGCACCTTAAGTTTCAACAACTACTCACATTAAGAACACAAATCTCACGCACCTTAATTAAGCACAAAACTCATGCACCTTAAGTTTCAACACTACTCGCATTAAGTACACACCCACACACCTTAAGCACAAAACTCACGCACTTTAAGTACAAAATTCACGCACATTAATCACCGCACGGGAGACACTTAACCGCACATGAACTTAATTATATATATATATATATATATATATATATATATATATATATATATATATATATATATAATTTATATTGCAATATATATATCACTATTTAACTTTGAATATATAAATTTATAAAAAAAAATGTCATTTTATGTCTTTTTACACTTATCATCTTATTCAATAACTAATTTTACCAACATTTTAATTGAAATCAATTAACTTATTAACTACTTGCTTTTCAGTTTTTAACTTACAATTAACTTTTCAGCTAGACGTGTCAAACAGAGCTTTATGTAGAGTAAACTATTAATTGTATCTTGGGAGCATATACTCGTTTACCGTTTTCAAAAACAAAAATACACTTTTACCATAAAAAAACAAAATGAATGAAAAATATCCAAAAAGAGTGTTCAAATGGATGAAGCATGACTTACCTATTAACAACATATATTCTTGTTTTGTACAAAAGCAATACTAATTGTGAGTTTCTTTTATCAAAATAATAAATGAAAAATGGTGAACTATATCCTAAAATGGTTGAGGAATTAACATATAAAAATGACAAAAACTTGTGTGAGAGCGTCTCACGAATCCTTGTTCATGAGACAGGGTCGAGCCAAGATGAAAAATTTAATATTTATACTAAAAAATACAATACTAATAAAAATTAAAGTGTTTATTATTTATAAAGATATGTGTAATACTTTTCAAGAAAAATATAATACTTTTATATTTTGATATAAAAGTATTACATTTTCCCTTATAAAAAAAAATAAATTTATTATTAATTAGTATTACAAAGTATATTTTTATATTGACGGATTCGTCTCCCAAAGTCATAAAAAGTTTGGAAGTAAAATCTCATTCCAACTCATATAGAGCATTAATGAAGGCGACAAAAAAAATTATCGCATGTTTACTTTTAAATTTCGAAGGTACTATGTGAATGACGCGTGTACACTACGTCTTTCCTTATACAAAAAGGATAGAAGTATTATATCTGACCGCATAGCGTAGTGGATTAGCGCGTTTGACTTCGGATCAAAAAGTCGTGGGTTCGACTCCCACTGTGGTCGAAGGATCAAAATAATACATTTTATTTTTTTACACAGAAGAATGTTATTTTCCGACAATAAATTAGGTATAAACTACACTTTCTTTATAAATTTAAAGGATCAAAATAATACATTTTATTTTTTTACACAGAAAAATGTTATTCATATACAAAATTTGACATACAAATTTATATATGTATACATTTTTTACAACTCTTAATAATTCACTTTTTCATAAAATCTTTCAGACTTTCATCAACTTTTATAGACTTTTAAAGTGACGAATTTTAAATTAATTTCACAA